TGAAATTTGAAAAAAAAAAACATTTTTGGTGAGAGGTGGTGGGTTGGAGAAGGTTGAGAAGGAGTTTTGGAAAATGTTTTCCCATAAGGAAAATATTTTCCTCCAATTGGAAGAAAATGAGTACATAAGGAAAATGTTTCCAAAATATTTAAGCCAACTAAACATGGAAAAATTGAAAAATATTTTCCTTCATACCAAACACACCCTTAGATTTTCCCATTCTCTTTTTCACTACACAAAGTTCACTTTTTTCATCTACACTACCATATTTTCCCATACCAAACGCAAGGAAACACCACTATTTATAGGTGAAGAATCTCTTTCATAAAATTATTAATAAGGTATACAATGAAATAATTTTTAATCATCAAGTAGTTACTACAACTGAAGGAACCAAAAAAAAAATTCTCTCCATATATAAGGTCAAACGATAACATAACAATCATCCTGGGGCGACTGGTGCACACGCACCGAGCTATGATGACACCGCCCGACACTACAACCGTGCGTCTAACTGATAATAAGGCTCCCACTGCTGGAGAGACCACATATGTGGAAGAAATTACTCTAAAATTGGATACGCTAATGCTGTTGCGGTACCCATGAAAACCAAACCTAGCTCTAAGGTGGTGGCACGACAGACGACATATAACGGGATGCCGGTGGTGATTTTCAAAGCAGAAGACTACTGTGGCGTGATGGCTGAAGAATAAAAATGGACACTAGTTGAAAAATTCATCTACGACATACCAAAAATCGAACTCATCAGATCAAAGTTTCTGGAGCAAATTCCTCTAAAAGGCAAAGTTAGAATTGGGGCTTATGATAACAGGCATGTCTTAATTGATTCTAATAATGAAGCTTATCTAAATAAAGCATATTTCAAAGGATTTTTGGGGATTTCGGGCTCATTGATGCGTATGTTCAAATGGTCCCCTAATTTTGACCCTAATAAAAAACTATCCTTAGCCTCAATCTAGGTGTTACTGCCAGAATTAAAGCATCACCTTTTCAGCTGAGAATACCTAAAACAAATTTTAACACAAGTGGGAACCTCTCTTAAGATAGATGTAGCAATTATAATCAAATCTAGGCCTAACTTGGCAAAGGTAAAAGTGGACGTGGACCTGCTAAAGTCATTACCTAAGAATATATTTGTTGGGCAAGAAGGTCATAGAGTAGGGATAAAAGGACACGAACAGAAACTAGAATACCAAGGTGTTCCAGCATTCTATAAAACTTACAAATTGAAAGGCCATGATCACATCAATTGCAAGGTTTAGGCTAGAAAGAATGCTGCTAAGATTGACGAAGGGCAAGGGAAAAAGGAAGGAAAAAAGGAGCCACAAATCAATAATGTAGAAAGAGAAAAGGCTTCAGGATTCAAACAGAGACGACCAAAGGTAAAGCAAGTACATCTCAATCAAAGAACGACATTCAAGATGAGGATGAGTTTACCCAATTCAAGAGCAAAAAAAAAATTAAGAAATCCAAAGATAAGTTTATACCTCCAAAAATCATGATAGAGAAGAGCAAAGGAAAAGAGAAAGAATCAATCGAGGACAATGTTGATAAGGAAAAGAGAATTGAAGAAGGTACAACCAAAATGCAGACAACTACTAATGAAACACAACTAGAAAGAACTATGATGTCAATCAAAAAGAACAAGAAGAAAAAGAAAAGAAAACAACAAAAAAAGACATCATCTTTCTGAAAATAAAGAACATGATACGAGTCAAGTAAAAAGCAAGCAATCTTATAAGAATAGAGTAAAAGAAACAATGGAGCAGGAAGAGATGGGTAAAGAAACAAGAAAAACAAAAAATAAAAAAGCAAAGAGGATTACAAAAGGAGAATACACTCAATTCTACTGAAGTATATCAAAAAGCTGGGAATGACAAAATGGAACATAGCAGTTGTAACAGTTCCAATGAAGAGATGTTGATCCCTTTCATAGCAGTCACAACTTGTAAGAAATCCAAATGAAGTCAAATTATAGTGGATCTAGGACATATGCAGGTAATTTAAGTTGTAAGCCAAGAGAGACATGGTCCAGATTTGTAGCATAGCTCAAATAATGAATAGTGTTATGATACTAGTGAGGAACATATTGCATAAGACTCTTCAGATGAAGAAGTAGAAGGTTTTCTTGAAGGCAATGAGTCGGACAAGAAAGAAGTGGCAGCCAATCTAAGTGAAACCTTTACACTTAAACCTAAGGAACCTACAGATCCAGTAACCAAGGAGATTGAGCGGGTGATTCAGCACCTAGGCCTATCTACAAGGTCAAAAACATAACAAAAGAACAAAGAAAAATAGGGAAGAAGTAATACATCCCAAGAAAAAGAAGTTAGCTCAACCTACAAAAATTTCTTATGATTAAGATAATTATATGGGATATAAGAGGGATGAAGTCCAAAGGAGCATATCAAAGCCTAGTTCAATTAAGCAAGCTTCACAAGGTGGATTTTGTGGGACTTCAGGAGCCTTTCTTGAAAAGTAACAAAATTGACAGATTTTGAAGAGATATGGGGTATGACCATGCTATTGCTAATGCCCATAGTAAGATCTGGTGTTTTTGGAACTCTACTATGAATTGTTCAGTCATCTCCAAAAGCAGACAACAAATCACTCTTAAATGTAGTTGTTGGGAAGTTCGGATCCATTCCGGATTACTGCAGTCTATGCTAGATCAAAGGAAGCTAAAAGCGTTGTCATGCTCCGAACCTAGGCATGGACGTAACACGATACTCGTGCCTGACTATATGTGACCGAGAGAAAGTTGTTGAATCAACATGAGATATCATAACTACTAAACGGAAGATACACTAGCACATACTGAAATAATGGAAGTCTGGATTATATAAATCAAGTGCGAAAATACTAATACATGTCTAAAATATTTCTTAGACAACATTTCTTAACATGAAAAGCATGTTACTCTGTATAACTGACTCTAGTATATGAAGCCTCTAATGAAGTACTGAAAATAATGATTGTTTGTAAATATTGAAAGACTCTAAAATAATGATAATGCCCCAAAAGAACTAGGCTTACCAAATAATTGGTATGAGAATTCTAGTTCTCTGAATCATCAACCTGTAAACCGTTACCTACATCGTGAGATGTAGGCCCCAGACAAAAGGGACATCAGTACATTTGAGCTGCACTGGTATGTAAAGCAACTGAAATAATGAACTGAAACTAAATTGATAAGTGATAACTAATAGCTAAAGAGAACTGATATCTGATATCTGATAACTGAAATGATAATTGACAATTGATAACTAAAATAATAATTGATAACTGAACTGAACAAAGAAAGTAAAGATGTGAATACTCCCTTTTTTGAATGATGAACCACCAATTTATTTGAATAAATTATGGCCTTGGGCCCAATATATATGTGCACAAGCTACGGCCTCAGGCCCAAGTATATGTGTACATAACTACGGCCTCAGGCCCAAAATGCATAAAGCATAAACTACGGCCTCAGGCCCAAACATACATAAAGCATAAACTACAACCTTAGGCCCAAACATACATAAAGCATAAACTACGGTCTCAGGCCTAAACATGCATAAAACATAAACTATGGCCTCATACCCAAATACAGGTGTTCAACATTCAGAGATTTAAATTCATGAATTGAGAATCATACTGCAATATGTGATGCTGAAATACTGAATCATATTGAGTTACATGATACTGGAATACTGAATAGGACTAGACTATAACATGTATTCTTGAACTGATTATGAAAATTGAAACTTCAATTGTTTATGACATACTGAGTAATATAGACTAATACTCGTGGGCATCAAACCCAAGTCTATATTGATTATGCATTGAGCTCACAATATTTAGAATGAAATTCATGAACGAGTTATGAAGCTATAGAATAGAAGTTCTGCAACTATTCAAAGAACTGGGTTTAACTAAATTTCTGAGGCAATTAATAACGTTGTAAAAGAAACATAATGAAGGAAGAATCATAAACATTTCCAAACATAAAGAGTTAGCCTCACATACCTTAACTTCCCGCTCTTGAGCATAATATAATGTTTTCTAACCCTTTCAACTTTAATCCATATGAATA